TCACTCACTCTCTCACTCACTCACTTTCATTCACTGACTCACTCTCACTCTTTCACTCACTCTCATTCACTGACTGACTCACTCACTCTCACTCACTCACTCTCATTTACTGACTCACTCGCTCACTGACTCATTCACTCACTCTCTCACCCTCTAATTCTCTCACTCTCACTCACTCACTCATTCACTTACTCACTCTCTCACTCTCTAATTTACTCATTCTCACTCTCTCACTCACTGACTCACTCTCACTCACTCTCTAATTCACTCACTCCCTCTCTAATTTACTCATTCTCACTCACTCACTGACTCACTCTCATTCACTCTCTAATTCACTCACTCTCTCTAATTTACTCATTCTCACTCTCACTCACTGACTCACTCTCACTCACTCTCTAATTCACTCACTCACTCTCATTAAAAAAGAAAAAAGACCTGACTTTGAAAAGACCATAACATGCACCAGATATTTGCCCCAACCCCGCTACGTGCTACCACCACCATTCCTGACATTGGAATATGTTTGTGAGTAAAACTGATGTGGTCCCTGTCCTCAGGGGGCTTACATTGTTAAAAACAGAGGTATCTTTAACATAGACAAAGAAAGCATCACACAGATGTAAGTCTGGTCCTAACTAGAATATTTTCATCTCGATGGTAAGAAGATCAAATATTAACATATTTTTTTAAATTCTTACATGTTAATTTTTTTAACCATTACTGTTTCTCAGAGTAAATATCTTATTTTCATTCAAAAATTGACATCAGAGCTTAATTTGGGGGAGGGGGTAAGCACATTTTAGTCCTATTTGGACACCAATAACAATGATCAGATAATAAATTTCGCCATGTGTTGTCACCAAATACGTCATGACTTTGGTACTGCTGGAAAACTACACATGAATTTATGATCTTAAAAATTACTCTCTGTTCTGGGTATTTGGTATTGTCAATATTGTTTCATCTTAGCATCTTTCAATAAATGTAGTTCTTTCACTGTAAAGACTGTTACAGAGATCTTATTTCTAGAGAGTAACTCGCTCTCCTTGGAGCGCTCAGAGAAGGAGCAAACATACTGGAACGTTTCTGTGTATCACGTTGTTCCTTTTCCTTTGAAGGGAATTACCTCTGGAATTACAGGGGGTTTTTGATAAAGAGGAGGTGGATGTTAAAGTCGAAGATAAGAAGCATGAAGTGTGTACGTCAACGAAGCCCATGTTCCAGCCCTTCTCAGGGCGGGGTCACCGATTGGGAAGGTGAGTGGGCTCACAGGACCCCATTGTTGAGCGGCACACTTTCCAGTCTGCTCTGTATCTAAGCATGCCTTTTGACAGAATGTGCAACGAGGGCGGATATGGGTTATTTTGTGAATTAACACACCTTTTAATTATCCAAGTTGCTAAGCTGTATATGGATTCATATATACAAAAACATCTGGATATGACTTTCAAAATGATAATGAAATACTTTTGTTTTTTTATAATCTAAGACCTAATCTCTGTAGCACATTTACGATTTCTTTTAGAAATTTCCACCTGTGGAGAAGGTAAAGATGCAATCCATTTAAACTCTCAAATTGTCTGTCCTGGACAGCACTATTCAAGTAGCGCTACTAATTTCTTTAATTTTTATAATTATCATGAGGTGAATGTAACTACCGGTAATACCTTTGTTGTTATTAAGAGAACAGCTTAAAAGAGAGAAAGCTCAAAAGAGTACAGTGATTTAGCCAAATCGCATGGTTAGTAAAAAGCAGAGGGGAACCAGAAGACATGCCTCCTTTATGTCACTATTGTATTATCACTGGTCAGTTTGTGTGATTAGTACATGCAATGCCGTGTGTGTGTACACGCACATACGTGTGCACATGTGTGCTCCTGTGTTGGGGGGGGTTGGTCACCTTAATGTAGCATACATAGTCCCAACCTGACAGCCAAGCTTTGGTGATTACATTGATAATTCTATCTCAAGAGAACAAGTCTTTAAATATCTGAAGCCCCTCATATCGCTATACATGTATCGAGATCTATCACCCCTTGATTCAATTGTTGAGTAGAAATCAACTGGTTAGCCTGTACCCCCCTCAGCTGTCACCTGGAATTAAAGGTTCACTCCCGTCCTCCCATTAGGTCACCCTCGCCACTTTGTACTGGGAGGTTTTGCTTTTAGTTGTGAAGAGTTTTCCAACAGGCTCCTGTGACACACCATCTTTGATCTATAAAGAGATGAGCTTCAAAACTCATGAATGGAATAATTTACAAGGGGTCTTCAAGGGTTTCATGGGAAAACTAGTATATTTTCCCCAAAATCCTAGAGCCCCTTGCTCTAAAGCACTGGTACAATTCCATAAATGTCATTTCACCGCTGCCAGTTAGGAGGCCCTTTGTTAAGTACTTCTAGTTTATTCCATCTGCCACATGACTGCCTGCCAAGTCTCTGGTTTCCTTTCTGACTCAGGCAGCCAGGTGCGTGCAGAATGGAATTGTGTCGTGGACTTTGAAGGCAGACTGATCTCACCTTTCAGAATTTGGTTGCCAGAACTGCCCTCTAAAGAGCCTCTGGACAGGTTCCAACCACCAACCTTTCAGGAAGCTGTTCACTTCACTGTTGGGGCCACCAGGACTGGCCTTCTGAAAAGCCCTCCCCCATGTGGGGCAATATACTTTGAGTATTTCAATTCATCTATTTATTCAACTGAGTATGTATTCACTGCCTATTTACTTGTGCGAAACATTATGTCAGACACAGAAGATAAGAGTTGTTAACACACGAGACTTGACCCCTGCCCTCATGAAATTACAGCCTAATGAGAAAGAGATGAAACAGAAACAAGTATCAAGTTAACGCATCCTGCTTTATGCTAAGTAGACAAAGAAATTGAAGGAGAAGGAGAAGGAAATGAGTCCTTGATGTTGTATCACATGGAGAAGCACATAGTAACTCTTTTCCCAGTATGCCTAGGTAGGGTAACAGCCTGGTCTCTTGGTTACAAAGTTGCATTTTCCTTTCACAGTCAGCCATGGGGTGATACTTTGATACTAAGAACATTTTGTTCCCCTCAACCTGTTACTTAATTGCTTTAAACATAATGAACCTTCCCTGAGTCCGTTATTTGGTTGTTGTGTGCCCGCCCATTCTGACTCTCAGCCAACAGGGCTTATCCACAAACACGTTGTCTCACCGAGGAGCCAGTGGTGTAGTGAGTTACGTTTTGGATACTGTTGGCAGTGCACCGGGAGGCTGACTTGGATACTGTTGGCAGTGCACCGGGAGGCTGACTTGGATACTGTTGGCAGTGCACCGGGAGGCTGACTTGGATATTGTTGGCAGTGCACCGGGAGGCTGACTTGGATACTGTTGGCAGTGAACCGGGAGGCTGACTTGGATACTGTTGGCAGTGCACCGGGAGGCTGACTTGGATATTGTTGGCAGTGCACCGGGAGGCTGACTTGGATATTGTTGGCAGTGCACTGGGAGGCTGACTGCACAGGCGTGAAAAATGGGAGTTTCCGTTTTAATTAGATCCTGGTCTTCGGGTGAAAGCAGTATTCATGGAAATACAGACTTTGGGAAGTTAATGTTTTTAATTTTAATTGTACTGACTCAAGTATTTACAAAGCGCAGCTATTACATGTTAGACATTGCAATGACAAACAGGACACCTTGGCCCTTTTCTTGCTGCTGTGGTCATGAGTCAAATGCATTGACTTGGGAGTAATTTTTTTTTTTTGGGAGGGGGAGTAATTTTTTAAAAATCATTTTATTGGGGGCTTGTCCTGCAACTCTTATCATAACCCGCCCATCCATCCATGGTGTCAAGCACATCTGTACATTTGTTGTTGCCATCATCATTTTCAAAACGTTTTCTTTCTACTTGAGCCCTTGGTATCAGCTCCTCATCAGCCCCGCGAGCCCTTGGTATCAGCTCCTCATCAGCCCCGCACCGACTTAGAGGGATTTCGAAGTGTCTCCTTGAAGGGAGGCGTAGCTGGAGCTGTCTGTCGGTAAAGGCAGCAAAGAGGGCAACAGTAGAAAAAGGGCCGGTGGGTTCTCTGTGACCCAGCAACTGTTGCTGGTTGCCAGGGAGCCCCTCCCAACCCACAGTGCCCCCTGTAGGACAGACTAGCGCTGCCTGAGGGATCCTTGCCCTCCTCCTGACTTCCATGGAGTTGAGGAGACAGTGGTTCTCAACCTTCCTGATGCCTCGACCCTTTCAGAGAGTCCCTCGTGTGGTGGTGACCCCCAACCATGAAGTTATTTTCGTTGCTACTTCATTACTGTCGTTTTGCTACTGTGATGAATCGGGCGACCCTGTGAAAAAGGGTCATTCGACCCTCCCCCCCAAAGGGGTCGCGACCCACAGGTTGAGAACTGCTGCTGAACCTTTAAAAACCTGGTTTTTCTGAGTCACCGTCAGGTCCAGTAATTGCCTAGTACGCAGCTTGCTGTTGTTAGGTGCCGACAGAGTCGGTTCTGATGTGTGGCAACCCCGTGGACAACAGAAAGTAAATGCTGCCCAGACCCTCACAGTCCTTACGTTGGTGCCCTCTGTGACAGCCACTGTGTCAGTCCATCTCGTCAAGGTCTGCCTGTTTTTGCTGCCCCCCTACTTTGCCAAGCATGGCCATTTTTGCCTCGGCCATTAGACTCGTTGGGATTATGTCTGTGCAGTCTGGCTAGAAAACAGGAACCCCCGGGTCTGACTGGAATCTGTGTTTTGGAAGATGGGACCTAGTGCTTAATCGTTCTGTGTTCACAACTCACTGACGCTGGAATGCTCTGACTTTCCACTCCTGAGAAACCAACATGAAAGTAGATGGTGACCCTCAGGAGAACACTGCCGCACACACCCTGCCATCGAGTGCACTGTGCCTCATAGCAGTCCTGCAGAACAAGGTCCAGCTGCTCCATGGGCTTTCTCCTACAGAGTCGCTGGTGGTTTTGATCTGCTGACCTCCTGTTTAGCAGCCCAATACCTAACCCCACATGGCTGGATACCCTGCCTGGCCTGCCTTTTATAGCCTGCTTTCAATCATCCCTTCTTCCAGAAGCCTTCCCACCAGTGAGTGCCATCAGTTAGGTCATATATTCTAAAGCACAGATTCCAGTCAGAGCCTGGAGTCCCTGCTTTTCCAGCCTGACTGCACAGACAGCCCCAGTCCTGTCTGATCCAACTGAGGTCTCTGTACAATAAATACATTCTGTGACACCGATTTCTTTCAGTATTTAGGTCTTTAGTATGCACAGTAATGTTTTCTAGGCTGTAATCTTTACTGAAACAAATTGCCGGATCTTTCTGGTTGAGCCTTAAATTTTGCACCATCAGGGCTCCTGGCAAGCATCCCTGCCCATTCCAGGGGCAGGTGTTTCAGGAGGAGGAAGTAGTGAGTGCAAGTGTGGCGGGGTGAGAATGAGTCGCAGCTGAGATTACACAGCTGGAGAGCATTAGGTAGATCTGAGAGGATAGAAGGAAGAATGTCAGAAATTGAGGTAGTGGGGGGAAGCTGTGTAGAAAGGGAATTTTCTTTTATTGGCTGGACATTGAGTTGCAGACTTTCAAGAAGGAAGACGGCACCCATCTCTGTGGAATACAGGAGGTGATTTAGGCCACTCACAGTACTGGCTCCAGAGCTGGGATGTGGAAGCTTTTTAGTCTGAGTGTTTATGACATCATTCACGGGCTAGACCGGTCAAAACTGTCATTAACATACCCTTCGTGTGATGGCTGGAACTGCTTCTCTTTTGTGAGACGGGTGATGTTAGCTGGTCTTTATGCCCTACCCCTGCTGTTTCTAGTTCACATTAGACATACAAGGAGGTACCCTCCCCCACCAAAAAAAAAACAAACAAGAAAACAAGGCTGGGCTTTTCCCCAGAAGGCAAGCATCAAGTAACTCCCTCTGAATTAGTGCACCCACTGGCATCACTTGGGAAGATTCTCTATGGTCACAGTGAATTTTTTCGTAAAAGCCGTTTCACTCAAACCTCGTTTTTTGTGATGGCTGACTTAAGAGAACAGCGTGCAGCTGTGAAATTTTCTTGCCTGCTCAAGAAAAATGCTGCAGAAACTGTTGTGATGTTGAACACAGCTTACGAGGACGCCACTACGGGAAAACCAAGTGTGTGAGGGGTCTTCTTGTTTCAAAAAAAGGTGAAATGTTCGTTCCCAGCCCATCCTGTACCCCCTGTGTAATCTTTGAACAAGTTCCTTAGCAGTTCGAAGTCTCGAATTTAGGGGTAACATTGAACCTTCCTTGTTAAGTGGTAAGTACTTAGGAGTAAGACAAATGGCTGTAAGGCATTTAACTTTGGTTTACATGGGACACCAGAAAACCAACCAAACTCACTGCCGTTGAGCCGATTCTGATTCATAGCGACTCTTGAGGGCAGGGTAGAACTGCTCCTGTGAACTTCCAAGACTAACTCTTACTGGGATTAGAAAGCCCTGTCTTTCTCCTCAGATAAACTAATGATTTCAAACTGCTGACCTTGCAGTTAGCAGCCCAACGTGTAACCACTACAACACCAGGGCGCCTTAGCAACTCTGTACGACCACATTCCCTGTGGGTTTTCTAGACTAATTCTTTATGGGAGTGTAAAGCCTCTTCTTCCTTCCTTGAGTGGCTGGTGATTAGCAGTCCAACACATTGCCTCCTGGGCTCCTGCTTGGCTCACAGTAGGAACATTGAAGGAAACTTTTGCTGTCTGTATTGTTTCGGTCAATTCATTATGAAACCCCTTTTTCTGCATTTGAGCAGATCTCTTTTCCACTGTATTATTTTTTTTTAATTTTCCCCCACTGTATTTTGTACTTGCAGTATTTGTGTTTTTATTTCTCAGCTTCACTTTGAACTAGTTGTTTTGTTTTGTTTTCTGGTACATAAATGTATAATATACAAAAGTCTTCCCAAAGCCATTGGCTACTAATAGTAGGCAGCGTATCCGTGTGTAAAGTTTGTACAGTAATTGTTTCGTGATAAACTTCTGTGCAGTGGGAAGATGTGTCTGACTGTTTGGGTTTTTTTAGTGCCACACCAAAAATTGTTTGCAAAGCAAAGAGCTCTGCAGTGGAGAGTGAAGACGGGGTGTGTGCCGTCCCGTTGAAGCCTCTGGAACCCGTCACCAGCCTGCGGATCTGGTTGGCCAATGGGACAAGGATCGTCCAGAAATTTAACACTTCTCAAAGGTGAGTCCTCTGCTTCAGTATTTATTTTGATCATTCCGTGAGATGAGATGTAATTTCTTTTCAGCTCAGACAAAAGTTATTTTTAAGAACAAATCAAGGATATTAATAAGCAGCTCTCTAAATATTTTGTTTTGTTGCGTGCCATCAAGGAGGTTGGCCCCCTAGCTAGCTCCCCTACACACACAACAGAGCAGAACACGGCCTGGTCCTGCGCCATGCTCACACTTGCTCTTTAGTTGGAGCCCGTGGTTACAGCCACTGTGTGCACCCACCTGCCCACGGCCTTCCTCTTTTCACTTCCCCAGGCTTGATGTCCTTCTGCCAGAACTGGTCTCTCAAGTGTTTAAGTTAAAGTCTCACCAGCCTTGCCTCCAAGGAGCACTCTGGCCCCACCTCTTCTAAGGCAGAGTTGTCTGTCCTTTTGGCAGTCCGTGGTACCCCCAGTATTCTTCGCCAGCACCACAATTCAAATGCATGGGTTCTTCTGTGCTCTTCCTTATTCAGTGTCCAGTTTCCACAGGCACAGGAGGCAATTGAAAGTACCATGGCTTGGGCCAGGAGCGCCTTCGTCCTTCAAGTAACATCCTTACATTTCAACATTCCACATTGTTGGACTGCAGTTTGAAGGCACCAGTCACTCCGAGGGAGAAAGAAGACTTTCTACTCTCAGAAACAGTCACAGTCTCGGAGACGCACAGGGCAGTTCCACTCTGCCCTGTCACGTTGCTATGAGTCAGCATCGACTCGATGGCTGTGAGTTTGGTTTTGGTTTGGAAAGAGGTTTCGTGCAGCAGATAATTCCAGCCTCACAACAACACACAAGCCATCACAGTACAACAAACTGACAGAAAAGTGGTGGTCTCTCAACATCGTATCCACTGTTGATCTGGCAGTTTGTCGTACTGTGATGAACATGGATCAAGAGACAGTTTGTGCCAACAGAGCAAGGGAACGCTGCGTGGTTTCAAGTCAGGAATGGCATGTGGCAGGGGGATGGCCTCTCACCACCCTTACTCACGCCGTGTGCGGAGCAAAGCATCAGAGAAGCTGGATTACATGAAGAAGTGTGTAGCATCAAGATTGGAGGAAGGTCTTAACAACCTGTGATAGACAGACGACACAGCCTTGCTTGCTAAAAGTGAGGAGGACTTGAAGCATTTGCTCATGGTAATAAAAGATTACAGCCTTTTTAATGGACTCAACTCAATGTAAAGAAAACAAATCTTCACAACTGGATCAGTGGGTAACATCATGATGAAAGGAGAAAAGATTGAAGTTGTGAAGTTTTTCCACCTTGCTTGGCTCCTCAGTGAATACTCATGGAAGCAGTAGTCAAAAGATCAAATGACAGATTGCATTAGATAAATCAACTGCACAAAACCTCTTTAAAGGGTTGAAAAGCAAGGATGTTACTTTGAGGACTAGGATAGACCTGACTCAGGCCATGGTATTTTCAGTCACGTCATATGCTTGTGAAAGTTGGACATTGAATAAAGAAGACCGAAGAAGAATCGATGCGTTTAAATTGCGGGCGGGAGAAGAATATTCAAAGTACCATGGACTGCCTGAAAAACAGACAGGCCTGTCTTGGAAGATGTACAGCCCCAGAATCCCTGCCCCCCCGACAGGAAGGATGGAGAGACTGTCTTATTTTAGGCATGTTGTCAAGAGAGACCAGCCCCTGGAGAAGGACATCATAGTTGGCAGAGGAAAGGGGAACGGAAGGGGAGGCCCTCAGTGAGCAGGATTGACACAGTGGCTGCAGCAGTGGGCTTCAGCACAGGAACACTGGTGAGGCCGGCACGGCACGGGGCAGTGTTTCCCTCTGCTGTGCATAGGGGTGCCAGCGGTTGGAACCCCCTGCATGGCACCCAGCAACAGCAATCCCAGCTCCAGGGTTTTATCGTCATGGATGTGCACAGGTATTTAGTTACCAGTGTGTTCACCACAATATTGTTTGTGATGTCAAAAACTGCAGATCGTATGTATGTCCTACAATAAGGGACTGATGCGAGAAATTAAAGCATATTCTTTTATTTAATAATAAGGCTTTTTTAATGTTAAGGATCTTTCAATAGATAGTATCCTACTATCTGTTATAAACTATTGAACAGTCATTGCTTTTTTTTCCATTGGCATTTGATTATTACTTATTGAATTAATGAATCTAAACCCTTTACGTTTTTATAACACATGAATGAATTTCTCCTTCGTGTTCATTTTGACTTTCGCCGCTATAGTCCTAGTTCTGTGTCCCTGCATAATAGATGATAGTAATCACTTATTAGCTTTCATATTTTTCACTAGTAACCCCCCCCCCCCATCCGTTTAGTAGACCATCACTAACTCCAAGTTATATTAAAAAAAAAACACCAGTCATACTTAGAAGGCACCTTGGTGGTACCGTGGTTACGCATTGGGCTGCGATCCTCATGGTCGGGAGTTCAACACCAGCAGCTCTGCAGGGAGAGAGACTGAGCTTGCTACTCCTGTGGACAGTTGCTGTCTCTGAACCCCCACAGGGGTCGCGATGAGTCAGCATTGACTTGATAGCAGTGTGTTTGGTTTGGGTTTGGAGATCAGTCGTCTGTAGGTGCTTCAGCAGAGCATCGTTGGTTGTCACGTGCCAAAACGAAGCTGAACACAGAAGACTGGCCTTCCAGAGAACTGGGATAGGAACTGGAGAGCATTAGGAACCAGGCAGACACTGTCTCATCTCTGCACTTGCGGGATTTCCACGCAGGAGCCCAGACCTGGTTGCTAAGCCCCTGAGGGAGAATCAAAGTTGTTATTCTCCATGTCTCGATTTCCAAGAGACATGGCCCGATTGCTCCGCCTGGGTCAGGTCTTCGTGCCGTGTCGAGTGCAGTCTGGCTGTGAGGTAGGGATCCCACCCGTTGCCTTGGAACAAGAATCAATATTTGAACAAATGTTTCCCCAGGTCCTCTCATCTCTACTGTCTTCCTGTTTAGTTAATACTTATCTTCAGTAATAGACGCTTTAGCCAGTGCTTACTCCAATTTTTAGTAGTCAATTAAAATACACAGAAGCATGTCTTAAACTTTGCGGTAACCCTTATAGATTTAAGGAGCCCTGGTGGCATAATAGATAACACGTTGGGCTGCTAACTCCAAGGTTAGCAGTTCAAAACTACCCACCACTCTTGCAGGAGAAAAAAATGAGGCTTTCTACTAAAGATTGAGAGCCGCGATTCTCAACCTGTGGGTCGCGACCTCTTTGGGAGTCGAATGACCCTTTCACAGGGGTCGCCTGATTCATAACAGGAGCAAAATGACCCTTATGAAGTAACAACTGTATTAAAGGGTCGCAGCATTAGGAAGGTTGAGAACCACTGATTTAGAGTCTTGGAACCCACAGGGGCAGTTCTACCTTGTACTATAGGGTCATTGTGAATCAGCATCAAACTGATGGTGATGAGTTTGCTGGGTTTTGTTGTTATTATAGATTTAATAGATGCAGGGAATTTTAATGAATTGATTACAATTCTGCATCGTGAGTGATATGCCACATATCATTATATCCAAAGGAGGCTTTTTTTTTTCCTTTCACATTTTAGCTTCTCTGCAGTGGGGATGTGTCCTATAATCCGTTGGCCCTGAGACAGTCAGAACATACCATATATACTCGAGTATAAGCGGACCCGAATATCAGTTGAGGCACCACAAAAACTGCATTAAAAATGTGCTGAAAAACTCGGCTTATACATGAGTATATACTGTAACTGCTTTCGCCTTGGCACCTGCCTCAAAACTGGCAGCACAGTTCGCAGCTGGCTGTGTAAAAGACCATCTCAGAGAGCATAGGATGCTTTCGAAGGAATTCTGTATCACCAGCCCAGCCGACGGTGCAAGGACTGTGTGGCAAGCTCTGTATGTGGACGCCTGAGTCACAAGTGAGTCCAGATATTGGGATGGTTTAACATTTTTAGGAAGACCTTAACCATCTTAATCTACTTATGTTTTTCCTGGTACACAAGCATGTGAGTGATATGATAAATATTTAGGCCTAAGTTAGGGGAAAAGATTATTTCAGTAAATGGTAAGTTAAAAATTTAATATTTTGTCAGTTTGATTTGACATAAAATAATCATGAGTCCTAACTCAGTGAGTGGCCCCTTAGTTGTGACGACCTGTGGGTCTCTCTCTTTCTCTCTGGCCTCAGTCTCTTCTCCCCACCACCCAGAGGTGCAGTGGGCTTCTAGCCTCAAGGTTGGTCGTTCAAATCTGCTAGGAATTCTGCAGGAGAAAGAGGAGGGTGGCTATTTATAGTCTAGCATCTGTGAAGATTTATAATCTTTTTTTTTTTAATAAGGTAGCTTTATTTAAACACCGATTTATAATCTTGGAACCTCTGTGGAGCTGCTCTCCTCGGATGCAGGGTCTTGGAGACGGCTTGAGGGCAGTGAGGTTTTTATACGACAGATGAGCTTAACTTTGAAGCACCTTCCAGATACCAGTGACTGTGTTGCCTTCTAAGGACTTAACCCTGTGTTTGCAATACCAGCCAAAACATTCCACTGCACTGACATTAAGGACAAAGGAATTACTAATTGTATTTGAAACACAGCATGACCTGGCATTGAAGAATTGTAACCTGTTTTTGTGCAGAATCATTTCAACACAGCTGTACCTGAGCCTCAAAATATTCTCGATATTCATTCTCCTGTGGCCAAACAAACTCAAATATTAATTTGACAACAGTACCTAAGCTATATTTTCATTTAGTAATAAATTGCATGGTTAAGTATACTACTGCCTTCTAATCACCTATGCACCTTTTTACATTTTCTAAAAGTGTGACGTTTTTTAAGTTCTTTTCTTTATAGGAACACCAGGCATCCTCTGTGTTTTCTTGGGTTATTTCTGATGAGTTAGAGATAGATAGATCAGCTTTCCATTCTAGGAAATTCTAGACAAAAGCAAAGAGAAATGTAATGAACCGCCATTATTTTGAAGCAAATCGCAGGCTTCCTATAAATATTTCAGTATCTCTAATCATTAAGGACTCTTTTTTTAATGGAACCATAAAACTTTTTCACACCTACAAAGTTTAACAGTAGTAATTCCTAAGTAATTCCTAATCTTTTAAAGTAGCCCAAATGATTAGTTCATGAAATGAGTGTTCTGTGTATTAACATTGCCAGATACCTATGTAAGCAGTTAGTGCCTTAAATCAGTTTGTCCACATTCTCATAAAATTACATGAACAGTTTGTGCTCCTTTACAGGGTAAGCCACGTCAAAGACTTCATCGAAAAATCCCAAGGATCTCAAAGAAGCCGTCCCTTTTCCCTGGCAACAGCGCTTCCCGTCCTCAGGTTGCTGGATGAAACCCTCACTCTGGAAGAAGCAGGTGTGCACAATGCCGTCGTCATCCAGAGACTTCAAAGAACTGCCGAGCCTTTTAGAGGGCTTTCTAGCCCTGGATTTACAGACAAAGTGGGAGTTTGACAGGAGAGATAGTTCTCAGCGGGCATGCCAACCGAAATGGAGAACAGAAAGGTCAAATTCCCTGGACTTCTGGTTCAAGTCCTTCTTCCTTCGGAGGATATTTTTAATAAACACAAGTTCATCAAGGAAAATACGACTAGAAACGGTTTTCTTTGCACTTTTCCCAAAAGGATTTTCAAAGGGAATATGCGTATTTTGTAATACTAATTAATCAGTGTAAGATGTACGATGGGACGTCATAATGGAATGAAAAAGTAATGGGATTTTTTTTTCTCATGAACTTTTTGAAGCCGCCTTGTATTGTAACAACTGTATCATTTAGAATCTTAAAATGGTATACATTAGTAAACATGCTCATTCACTGAAAATAGTATCCATTACCTTCTCAATTGGCAGTGATTAAAATATTAGCTGTCTCAGATTTAAGAGGTCAGTACATTAAAAGTCAAATATTATGGGCTAATTACTTGATAAGCGTTAAAATTAGATGGTTGGAAGGCAGTATTTTCAACACAGCTGTACCTGAGCCTCAAAATATTCTCGATATTCATTCTCCTGTGGCCAAACAAACTCAAATATTAATTTGACAACAGTACCTAAGCTATATTTTCATTTAGTAATAAATTGCATGGTTAAGTATACTACTGCCTTCTAATCACCTATGCACCTTTTTACATTTTCTAAAAGTGTGACGTTTTTTTAAGTTCTTTTCTTTATAGGAACACCGGGCATCCTCTGTGTTTTCTTTTTGGAAATTAGAGCTTCGCTTTCAGCTGGCTTTTGAGCTGCATCATTCACTTGGCAACACTTACTCATGTCTGTGTTGCCACATTATTAGTGGGCTTCAATTTCTTTTTAAATCATTCTGTTAGGGGCTTGTACAGCTTTTATCACCATCCATCCATCCATCCATCGTGTCAAGCACATTTGTGCATATGTTACCATCACGATTTTCAAATGTTTTCTTTCTACTTGAGATCTTGCTATTAGCTCATTTTTCCCCCTTCCTTCCCTCATGAACCCTTTACCATCTATAATTTTTTTCAATAGTGGGTTTAATTTTAAAATCACATCACAGAAAGTATTTTTCTTACTTTGAGACAGCAGAGTCAACCAATGTGTACATCAAAGCGTTGGTCTGTTGCCACCAAGGAAACCCTGGTTTTTATCTGAGACGTAACTAATACCAGTTAGATCTTGAGCTTTCAATGTCAGATTAAGTTTTCTTGCCTGAAAATGATAATGCTGAAGAGGCTTTTTGGTCGCTGGCCTACTGAGCAGATTTAAAGGTGAGTGATGTGTGGTCAGAAGAGAACAGCCCCTGGAACCGGTCATCATGTTTGGTGATGGCCAGCGTCCATGAGAAAGAGGGAGCGGGGAGGGAGGGGAAGGGGAGCTGCTATCTCCAGATTGACAGCCTAGACTCCACCCCTACACTCTTAATCCTTAAACGGACACCAGATTAGGTGACTACCACACTGATCATAAAAAGTAAGCAATAATTATATGAGGAAGAAAGGAGGGGACTTCCTTACAATAAAATACCAAAAAAAGAAAGAAAATTATGATGGCAACATGTACACATGTGCTTGACACAACTGATGTATGGATTATTATAAGAGCCCCCAACAAAATGATTTAAATTTTAAAAAGAAAAAGAGGCAGATGCTCAAGAAGATGAACTGACACCAATGAACTCAATCAGAACCGTGACGACAGCGGCGCAGGTCCGGGCAATGTTCTGTTCTGTTCAGAGTACGTAGGGTCACTGCGGCAGACTAGACATCTCACAACAAAACTACGTTCAGGGGCCCAGGCACTCTGGTGCAGTGCCTGCTGCCTGCAGGGCTGACAGGACCCTGGTGTCAAACAAGTTGATCTCAAGACCTTTGTCCTGGTGGCTTCTGTCTATCCGTACTACTATATTAGAAATGTCAACCCTTTAAAAACATCCCTTCAATAACAATCAGCCTGTTTCCCATGAACATGAATAACATGGGGAAAAAATAGCTGTTTTACAAGACATAGAAGTGAGAAAAGTCACTTTGTTTTCTACTTTTGAAAAAATCCTTGCTGCCTGGCTTTCAGAAGACAGGTGGATTCTTGTATCTGCTTCTACATTCAGTCTGTTGCAATATCACGCATCCCAGAGCCCCAGAAAATGCCGCTGTACGCGCATGAATGGTGAGAATAACTTCTGGTTTGACTCTGAAAATAGCTTGGAAGTTACCAAGCCCACTGCCGTCAAGTCGACTCTCACACTAGATAGGGTTTTTGGGGTTCTAAATCTCTAGCTTTGTCTTTTTTCCTTCACAGTGACTGGTGGGTTTGAACCACTGGCCTCGTGGTTAGCAGTCAGGTTCAATGCTTACCTAACAGCATCACTGGGGCTCCTTTTGCACCTTGCAGCCACCCTGAAAGTATCTCAGGATCACCCCAGGAGTCCCTAGAACCTCACTTGAGAACCCAAACTGACTGGCAGAGGCCCTCAGCAAGCTTCTCAGAAGGACCCCTTCCTGCCACTCAGTCTGCTTCATTGTATTTCCGATGGGTCTCACTGCCCGACAGCTTTTAAGGGATTCTTAAGTTTATGGTCAAAGAACTATTCTTTGGGAAGTTCTGTACTAAGCCTCCACCTTAACAAATAGTAACCTGCCTTCCCCATGGGCCACAGAGTCCCCGCTAGGCCTCTACCTGTGGATTCTCATCCCCACAGTTTGCTCTAGAGAAGTTCCTCTTTAACCTGGACGACTCAGGCTGACTGTATGTTCCCTCCTGTAAGTGAGGCAAGGCTGGGGTGTTGAAATGACGTTTCTATCGATGGCTCAGGCACATCAAAAGCAAACTGCAACAACAGCTCAGTGGCTCACCTTGTAGCATTAGATCTGATGTTTGCATCCTGCTTTGCCCAGCACCCCGCCTTCCACTGTTTGTTTGTCTGGGGGTTGGGGGGGGGAAGGGAGGACAATGAAGAGAGCCCTTACTTTTCATCCTCATCCTTGAGAAATGGCTCAAGGAAATGTGTATTGTCAGTGACGTTTGTAGCCATTCTTGAGCCCTATCTAGAGTGAAAAAAGTGATTGCATGCTCATCAAAAATATTATCAATGGACTTCCAGAAACAGAAAGTAACAATTATTGATATTTGCAAAAGCATCTAAAGTGTTTCATAGAAGTGTTATTTTAAAGCATTTTATAGGTTGCATTATTATCATAATATGGTTCCCTTATATTTCTATAGGGACCACATATTGGGAATGTGCATATGGAAAAGCCTTCTTTGTGGATTTTCCTGTTAGCACTATTTAACCAGGAGATATGGTGGGGATTTTGTGTGTGTGCACATGGAATACACCCTGTTGAAAGGTCTGATAGAGAAAGGCATGTTGGTGGCAAATAATCCTCAGTTTTGAAACAGAGAAATTTTATTAGTGTCCATACAATTCTCAAAAGTTTTTCTTAACATGAGAACCACTCACTAAAGCTTTCTGCCAGGAAATTTAAAAGTTGTAAATCTTGGGGGACTGGGGATATATATATATATATACACACACACACACACACACACACACACACATTATATGTACATACATATATACGTACATACATATACACACACAAAGGTATGAAATTCTCAAATAGGCTGACTTTGAAAACGTCCTTCTAAGGAAAGGAAACCTTGAAGAAAAGCAAACATTTTAGGTGTGGATTTCAAATTTACTTAAGTAGATGTTTCGAAACTCATCCATTTCCTACAAACCAGTGCTATGGCTACAGTATAGAAAGGCAAATTCCAGGGTGCCGGTTAAATTACTATGCAATCTCAGGCTTCTATGTGTTTTTTAATACTTCTATCAGTGTGTGGGATTTTTTTTCACTATGTTTCAGTGTTGAAAATATGCTATCATGTGCATCTATTACAGTGCCTTAAATTATTTTGAAAACAATTCTTTGCTAGTGCTTGAACTGCTTTCTTACAAATGTAAAGCTGCTCATTAAAAAGACCTGTGAACAGTTACACTTGTGTGAGGAGAGTTCTGTAAGGCTGCCTTTGCCTTTTTCCTCAGCAGTCCTCCGTTTGAGAATCACCGACACCCAATAGGTGCCTCTTTGTGTCCCGTACTTTCACCAGTGTTCCTTTCATTTAAATCTCAGAAAAGTACAAAGTTTACCTTTTCAATCCTACCTTAATGGTTCTGTGGTGTGTTTTTTAAACCAGTCTTGGTCTCCTGAATTGAAGTAACATGAGGACTCCTTGGAAGGGTTTACATCGTTGTTCTTTTCCTGGATGGAAAATGGAAATTACAAACCGTTTCATTCTAAAATTGCTAGAAGTGGCTCCTATTAGTCAAGGCTAGGATGCGGGTCTTTATCATTTGTTGCAAATGTACTGTTGCACATGCATTTCCATTTCATGTAGAAAATTATAAAATGTCCTCCCCGCTCCCACTACCATGACTCGAATTCGACCTTGCAAGTCTGGCTAGACCAGAGGATGTACACTGGTACAGATAGGAACTGAAAATACAG